TGCACAGCTGGCTCCTCACACTCCGGTGCCTGCCCAAATGTCACTTCTTCAGAGAGGCTGCCTGGATCCTCCCACACACAATGCACGCCTAAGATAACTCCAGTCCCCCCGTCCCTCTGCGGCACAGCTCTGGTTTATTTCCTTCAACACACTCAAATGATCCTACTCAAACGATCTCATTACTACTTAGCAGTAGTCTGTCTCCCCCACTAGAATGACAGGACTCTGAGAACAAGGGCCACATCTGTCTTGCTCACCATCATCCCCTCACATCCAGAGAAGTGTCTGCTACGTAATGCGTTTACTAAGTATCTGGTGAATGAAAGAATGACTGAATGGACAAGCTTTGGGGGACGATGGGGTTTGCAAGCTGTCAGACGGTGCAGTGCATTCACAGAGACCTGTGCTCTTGTCCTGGCCCCACTTTCCTCTCTTGGCCTCAGTTTCCACATCTGTAACATGGCCCCGATGGTTCAGTGGGATCAGGCCCCCCCTAATGAGGTCCTCCCGGCGACGTCAATTGTAGCGTTTTGCTTTGGTTTTGTCTCCATGGCACCCAACTGAGGTAGGTTGGTCCATGTTCCTGTCACCACCGGATAAATAAATTTCTTCCCACCGAGATCCTGATTATTTTGTAATTTTGTCTGGTCTATTTTTGTTTTGTTTTTTTTTTTCAAAAACTTCCCTGTTTCCATTTCCCTCTGCACTATGCTGGGTACACAGTAGGTACTCCCTGGTAATACTCCCTAGGGTGTGGTTCCCAAATATTAGTCAGATTAGAATGGGCTGGGGGGGCTTGGTTAGAAAGTCTTAACCTACAAACAGACTTGATTCACTAGGTCCAAGGTGATGTGATAGACTGAAAACTGGAGCCTGAAGATACCCAGGTTCTAATCCCTGGAAACTGTGACCTCAATATTGCAGAAGGAACTTTGTAGATGTGATTTTAATTGAGGGTCTTGAGGGGTGCCTGAGTGGCTCTGTTGGTTAAGCGTCCGACTTCGGGTCAGGTCGTGATCTCGCGGTCCGTGGGTTTGAGCCCCGCGTCGGGCTCTGTGCTGACAGCTGGGAGCCTGGAGCCTGCTTCGGATTCTGTGTCTCCCTCTCTCTCTCTGTCCCTTCCCCAGCTCACACACGGTCTCTTTCTCAAAAATAAATAAACATTAACAAAATTTTAAGCTGAGAGTCTTGAAATGAGAGGTGTTTCTGGGTGGCTGTGTCCTAAATGCAATCACAAGTGTCCTTGTAAGAGTGAGACCTGTGACCATGAAGAAGGCTATGTGACCATGGAAGCTAGAGGCTACGAGGCTGCCTTTGAAGATGGAGGAAGGGGCCACAAGCCAAAGAATGCAAAGAATGTTTCTAGAAGCTGCAAAAGACAAGGAAACGTTCTACTCCAGAGCCTCCAGAAAGGAGAACAGCCCTTCACTTTAGAGACCCACTCTGGATTTCCAATCTCAGAACTGCAGAACAATAAGTGTGTGTTGTTTTAAAAATGCCTATTTGATTTTGAGAGAGAGAGAGAAAGAAAGAGAGAGGAGCAGAGACAGAGGGAGAGAGAAAATCCCAAGCAGACTCCAGGCTCAGCACAGAGTCCAACGTGGGGCTCAAACTCACAAACTGAGATCATGACCTCAGCCGAAATCAAGAGTAGGATGCTTAACCCACTGAGCCACCCAGGCATCCCTAAACGTGTGTCATTTTAAGCCACCAAGTATGTGCTAATCACAATGTCCCTGGGAAACTAATACAGGTGTAGCACCCAGGCCTCTGCATTTAAAAGACCTTCTTCCCTTTGCTGGCTCTGACGCAGGGGCCCCGGCGGGACCATACTTCCAGAAGCCCTGCTCCAGAGCTGTTCCAGGCTGCTTCTCAAACCAGCCCATCCCCTGAGAACCAAAGCATTTTGTCAGAGTCGGAGGGACCCTGCCACGAGCGTCGATGTCTACCTCCTCATTAGCAGATGGGGACACTGAGGCCCAGGGAACGCTGCAGCAAGGCAGAACGATGGGAGGTGTCTTCATTCAACTCTGTCGGCTTTCAAATTCCATTTGGAGTTTTTAAAATGAGCGATGGCGCAGACTGCCAATAGCTTTAGCAATAATCTCATAATGACCCAATCGTGAAACGATTTAGCAATCCTGCGGCTAATTGTATTTGTGGGTATAGCAATTGGGTAACTAGTTGGTTATTACTCATTCCCCAAGAGCCATACACATCGCATTACAAGGAAGCTAATCTTAGAAATACTTGTTAACTTCGATGATAATTACTAAGTAATTGGCTAGAACACGCCATTGTGAATTTAGCCGGAATATGCCAGGTAATTATCTGGTCTTATGTTCTCTGTAAAATAAATCCAGGGTCCAAAAATTGTTCCAGTTGATTGGCTATTGTCCAACCATCAACCTCCGCCAGCCAATTATGCGGATGCAGGTGATTAATCCAATTACTTGAATACCAGGTTTCACACTGAACGTTCAGAGAAGAGACCTGATGGTCAACAAGTGGACGGTACTAAATGAGAGAGAGGGATGCACAGGGCCCCTCCCTAAGATAAATATGTAATGACACAATAATATGGTATAAATGCCACTCGGGGGCTCATCTGGCTTCTTCACGCAAAATACCAAAACACTTCAGAGACCAATTACATGTCCCAAAGCTGCAGAGTCTTTATCACGGTGCCAGGAAAAGGCTGCGCTATTTGCGAAACCTGCAGGCAGTTATGCGCTCGGGGAGGGGGGGAGGGGGGGCACAGAGTTTGTACATAATAGAAAAGGGCCAGAAACGCAGCTGGCTTACGGGATGAGTGACACATTTTCATAATGACCACTCGTTCTTCAAGGATGGTTGCTAACTGAATCTGTCCACTTCCAATTAGCCAGCCCTTGGGAAAGGGGTGAGGGAGGCTCGGGGAACTGGGATCCACCAACAACACCAAGCAAGTCAGAGGGCGGGAGGCGACAGGTTCTCAGAAGAGCCAGGTAAGGAGAGGAGACAGTGGATTTCAAATTTTTCGTTTGGGGATGTAAAAAAGAGGAGTTAACAAGCCAGAAGGTGAGGAGCTGACCAGAGAGAAATTTGGGGTGATGGACTGGTGGGAGCAGTGGGGCAGAAGGCCAGCGGCATGCACCCCAAGTAAAGGGCTCTGCACGAGAATGATACATTCTAGATCACAGAGGAGGAAAGGAGTGGTGGCAGGCTTTAGAAGTGGCCACAAACTGTCCCCCTCCCTGCATCTACGTCCCTGTAACGTGACATTGCAAATCCTCCCATGCAGAGGCAGAGTCTGTTTCTTCGTGCTGGGAATCTAGGTTGACCACGCAACTTGGTTTGGTCAATGTGCGTCAGCCAATGCAACACAGACAGAGGAGGGAAAGGCCCTTGCCCATCAGGGCCTGACCTCTTCCTTCACTTGGAACCCTGAGACCACGATGGGAATGAGCCCAAGCTAAGCTGTTGGGGGATAAGAGACCATCAGGAAGAGAATCGGGGCATGCCGGCTGATAACCTGTCAACCTGCAGACATGTGAATGAGGCCATCCAAGAAGGACCAGCCCCCTGTCTGACCTGCCTGCTGACCACAGACATATCCAAGAGCCCAGCTACTGGGCCTGGCTCAGCACAGAACTGTCCACAGAAGAGAGGAAAACTCTGAGTGTTGGGGGTAATTTGTTACTCAGCAAAAGCTTACGGATGCACTCACTTCATGGGAACAGCTCAGCCCCTAAATCTGATCTGAGCTGGTTATTTGAGAGCCTCTTCTGTCCTTTTTAGAGTGGAGGACGACCATTTTTACCCTGGTCTAAGGACTGAAGAGCCATCTCCTGAAATCCAATCCTTTGAAAACATTTACCATCCGACACATGGGTTCCAGTCAATCCATCATCTGCATAACCAATGATGACAGACAATAGCCCATTTTCTTCTGACCACTGAGGTCTTATAAATGGACTCAAGGATGCTCTGTATCACAAGGGAACAGACCCGAAACACACCAGCTCTTCCCTGAGCTCACAGCTCCTGCTACGCACCTGCCGAGAGGAGAGGCTTGCGTGTTTGAGATCTTATCGCTTGAGCTGAGAATGGGAAGCAGACAGCTCCTAAGTGACTCCTGGCATCACAGGCCAGTCCTGATGCAACGGGAGAACGGCAGCCAGACGTGAAACACACACCAAAGGATAGTTTCACAACTGTTCGACTGAAACCAAAGCTATTTTTTTTTTTTCCAATGCCCCATGTCACTGGGTGAGGTTAGAGAGCAAGTTCAGGAAAGCTGCTATCATTTGACGTTTTCTTAATGTCCGTTCTCTGTTAATTACCCCTTCTGTGCAGGTATCGACCGCGGACCCTGGATATTTAAGATAGCAATGGTAAAGCTCTCCACGTGTCATCTGCTGCTTTAACGAAAGCCAGAGTAACAGCTGTCAGAATCTTAGTCCAGAATCGGCACAGCAGGGACCGGGGGCCAAATCCAGCTTTTATAAGTAAAGTTTTATTGGCGCCCGGCCACGTACATCCACTTACGTCTTGTCTGGGGCTCCTTTCCCACCACAGTGGCAGAGTGGAGCAGTTGCTACAGAAACGATCTGGCCCATAAAGCCACAACTATTCTCTCCTGGGCCCTTTACAGAAAAAGCCTGCCGACTTCCGATTTAGCCCAATCCGTTCAATTTACACGTGGAGACAGTGAGTCTCGGCGGTATCGTTTCACAAACACTCGGGGCACGGCGGGGGTGGAGGGGGGGGAATCTAGAACCAACTTTCCTAACTTCCATTCAGTGCTCTCCCCGTGGCCCTGCTCTGCCAAAGAGTTTTACCATCAAAAGCACTTCCTGGACTCTCAAGTCTTAGAACCACACAATTATGAATCGGTAGAGCTGGAGACGCTCCATTCACCGGAACGACGAGTCAACCGGAAACCCCCACTTCTCAACTCTGCCAGAGGCACAGCTCTGGGGACGGACCCACGGGTGGGGATCCCCGGCAGGACTGACCTGGTGATGATGGCCAGGTGGGGTGGGCTCATGCAGGCACCCATGAAGAGCACCACGTTCTCATGCCGCGTCTGCCTGTAGGCCATCACCTCCCGCTTGAAGGCCTTGAGCTGTTCCTCATTATCCCTCTCGATGTCGATCAGCCGGATGGCCACCTCGCCATGCCAGCGGCCGTGATACACCTGCCCGAAGCGGCCCTTTCCAATGAGCTCGCCAATCTCCAGCTGCTCAAAAGGGATGTCCCACTCCTGCAGGAAGATGCTGGTCTGGCTGGCCTTGCGTGGGAAGCTCCGGGCTGAGAGCAGGGACAGGTTCATCTCCTCAAAATCGTCCTCTGACTCCTCGGCCTCGTCGTGGCCCTCTTCATTCTGTGGGCGGAAAGGGGAGAGCGGTCAGAGTGGCTCCTGACGCTGCCCCGCCTTCCCACGAGGTCCCACTGGGTCCCACTGGGACACGTCTCTATGTGCATTTTCGGCTGGTGTGCACACAGACCTATTAGTGCAGGCCACTCTCGTCTAGAATCGTATACAATGAAGGGGCTGAAAGGGAGATCGTGGTAACCCCACGCTCCTGTGCTAAGGGGGACACTGAGGTTCATGGAAGAGAAATGCTAGGGGGCCACCCATTCCGGTTTGCTGGGACTTCCCTGGTCTGGGCACTGAAAGTCCCCTTGGTGGGGGCACCTGACAGGCTCAGTCAGTACAGCATGTGATTCTTGATCTCAAGGTTGTAAGCTGGAGCCCCACACTGGGTGCAGAGATTACTTAAAGTCCCCTTGGGAAGTCCTTCAGTCCCAGCAAACAGAGTTGACTGGTCACCCTGGGAGATGCCCGGCTCTCTATCACACAGCCAGGCAGAGCTAGGGTTAAACCTCAGGTGTCTCAACTCCTAATATCCAACGCCCTCCTATTCTACCGTGATGTTTTGGCTTGTCTCCTTACGTGTGTGTGATAAAGGCAACAGGCTAAACTACGTGTGCCTCAGCTGTCTGCACACAACATGTGACGATCCTCAATGGAGAGTGCCTTTTTTTATTTCCCCCGGGGAATTTGGAATGGATGAGTCAGAAAAAGGGAGAGGTCACAGCTACTCTGCACAGGCTGGACACCTGGGCTTCCTATGCAGCCATGAGGGCAGAGAGGCTGGCCGATAGGATGGGCTTAACAATCAGAAGAAATGAGTGGAAATCTGGCCTCTGTGTGACTTTGGGCAAGCCACGGGACTTCTCTGAGACCTCCTTTTTCCCCGTCATAAAGCGGAGCTGATAAAATCTGCCCCTGGGGATGGTGTGAGGTTTCCAATGATACGAAAGGCTGTTAAGTTCCTTGCACAGACCTGACCACCTGTATGCGACAGCGACTGGGCTTCCTGGGAAAATGCCGATTCCTGGGCCCCACCCAGAGCTGCTCAACAGAAAGCAGCAGGCCAGGGCCAGAAATTCGCATTTTTATCCAGCACACCCACAGGGCCCCTGGACACTTAGGCGTGAGCACCACGATCATTAGCCGGTCAAGGGCCAGGGACCCACCTTCCCAGCATGGGGGCTGGGAGTGTCCTGCCCCACGGCTTCTTTAGCTCCAGTGAGGGAGCAGCAGGCACCCCAGCCAGTGGGGATTCCCAGAGGCTTGGGGGCTGATTAAGCAGCCTGAGGCAGTGGCCCTTTGGCTGGCCGCTGGTCTTCCTGAGCCCAAACCTGAGCAAACTTGCCCCTCGCGGCCCACTCAGGAGAAACAACACAGGAAACACTGGCTTCCCCAGGGATAATTTTTCAACAACCACAACACCTGCCGAAAGGACCTGGTTTTCTCTGGAAACCCTGGCTCTATTCCTTTCAGTTCGGGGCACACCCGCAGGGCTGAGGAGTCCATGGTTCTTACCCAGGACACTTCGTTTATTCCTCCAGAAGTTCTGGCGGATGAGAAGAAGCCCCAGACCATTCGCAAAAGCCTGCCAGGCTCGGTGTCCCCAGGACTCTGCCTCCTCCCACGTGTTCTTTGGAAGGCAGTGGGGCACATCCCCCTTGGTACTCACCTGGCCCTAGGCCGATTTTTCCGCTAAGAATGTAAATCTCTTGCCAACGTCTGCACAGCTAGCTTTTCCGTGATGCACACCGTATAACGGCCTATTAGGCTTGGTGCCGGGAGGGGCCCCCGCTTGTTAGAACGTCCATCAAAAACAGGGCCACCCCACCGCCCGCCGCCCCAAGCCCTCCGTGTCATTAAAGACATCCATCGGCTCTGCCAAGCGCTGGGCAACCCCAGGGAAACAGGTGCATCACTCTCTCCAAATCTCACCTCTGAGGTTGGCTCCAGTTCAATTTGAAGTAATGGATTTCCTTCCAAGCTTTAAAGAAAAGAAAAATAGATGTGACCCTCCCGTGAAAAGGTAGGTCTGTGTATTGTTTAGCCGCGTATCAAGAGTCCTTGAACGAGAAGCCCTGGCCATCAAGCCTTCATCTCAAAATCCACTTCAACACTTGTGTCGAAACTAATCCATAACCTCACCATGAAGAAGCGATGACAAGGACACTGTTTTCAACAGACTTTCTGGGCTGCTCAGGGCTCATTTTTCTTTCTTGCTTTGGTTTCCACTAATCTAGCAGCTTCCTTATAAACTGGCCTAATGCCACGGGTGGAAGAATCCTCAGAACTCTGGGTGTGTGCTAGGAAAGAATGAACGAGACCTCTAACGTTCACTCGGGTTTGGAATCTTCTGGAAGAACCTTAGCGTTCAGGATTACAGGTACCCCCCCCCCCCGCCCCCTGCTTTTTGAAAGTCGGCGCCATGCCACTTTGCTTTTATGAAAGATCTACACTGGTGTCTGTTTTGCTGACCAAAAGAAATTCCAAGACTTTTGCTTTTGTGGAAAAGGGTGACAAGCGAAAGTTGCCTTCAGCTTTTGCTTTGCCACGAGCCATTACGGAGGCAGCGGGCACCCTGAGCAGTGTGAGTGATGCCTCCAAGCTCCTTCCCTGGGCACTACCCTCAGCATCTCAGCCTCAAGCCTCCACACCTTTGAGCAGTATCCATGAGCATCTGTGCTTTATCTCGATTTATTTTGTGCATCCGTTAGCAAGATGCGTCCTAAGGTATCAGAGAAGCCTAAGGGAGAAAGTTCTCAGGTCTGGGGACACCCGCCAATTTTTGCATCATAAATGAATGATAATCGCGTCTTCGCATGACACCATGTTGGCTTATGAAAGGTTTTGTAGGAATGCTCTACTTTCGGATAGTGGGGGAAACCTGCATGTGTCAGGAACGGGGCAAGGCCCTCCGAGGGATACAGAGTCGAAACCTGCGTGGCTCCTGACTTTGGGGACTATTATGTTACTACCGAAGGGACGAAAGCAAGTACGGAGATATCGTGCAGGAAGGCTGAAAGTGACACGGGCCAAAAGTCAGGCATGAACTGAATAGACGGAGCATGATGGAAATTCCCCGGAGAGATTATGGGATGTGGTTTGAAAACTCGCAGTGTTTGAGTTGGCTGGATGTTGCCAATCACGGTGAACCGGGATGCGTGGAGTGAGAACGAACAAAACCGTTATCTGGAAGGACTGGAAGACACAGGTGGGAGCACGCACGCGCGTATGCTTGGGTCCGTGCGCGAGTGTGATGCAGTCTTGAGCTCGTGAGCTGCAGCTGTTCTGAGCGTGGGCGCAGGCTGAGTGCAGGGCTGGGGAGGGATCAGTGTGTTTGCGTGTGTGAGTACTAAGTATAGATTGGGTACTGCGTGGGTATTATGGGATGTGCTCTGTGCAGGGGTTGTTCTGGGCACACGTGAGTTGGGTGTACCCCGTGGGGGATGTGGGGGGCTCACCGTGTGTTGACAGCTGGGTACGTACTGGGGTGTGAGGGGAGTGTTGGAGCACATGGCATGTGACGGGGACGTGGGGGACAGTGTGTGTTAGAGGTGTTTCTGGGGGTGTGTTTTCGGAGTAGAGGAGGTGTATGTGTTTACGGAGTGCAGTGGGGAGACTGTAACTGGGCTGCTGAAGGCACAGAACCGGCGGCAGGAAGGAATCACAATGAACACCTCTGGAAGCTTAGCAGGGGCCCCTACCCACCCCCTCACTTGAGGGGCCACCGCTCTCCTAACCCTGAGACCCCAAGAGGCTGCTGACCCTGCAGACAGAGCCAACCCACTTCCGGGAGGGGCTCTTGGCCAGAGGGAGTCTGAGAGGCTGCAAGAACGAAAGGGGGAGAGAAGGGTGGGTCACAAAGTGTCCTCTGCCTTCCTATCAGCCAATCATTTACGGCCCGGCCGGCCCCGGGAACATCTGCCGGGAACTTGGCATTTTGGGGAGATCCGGGTGGAACAAGGCAGCTGGAGTCCCTCCTCACCCAACAACAAACCAGGCAGCCTTCCTCTGCCTGCATCAAGGCATGATTACAGTCACTGGGCGATTAAATTACTTCTTCCTGTGAAGTGTTAGTGGCCGTCACTCCATGCACTTTTAAGCAGACCGCAAGCAGCTACCGACGCCGTATTTCGCGGGCGCTCCCCGACTGCTAGTTAATAACCCGGAGTTCGTCTTGCACACATTGTGGAATTGGCTTATGTGCAGCAGAGGAACGACCCGGAGCTGGAAGTCAGCACCATCTCCCTGGCAAACTGCTGCCCCCTTGATTTCACGGATGTACCACCTGGGTCTTTAACAAAGTCCGTAACATGGGGCAGGAAGGGCGCAGCAGTTAGGGGGGAGGCAGAGGAACAACCAAATGGGCAAAAGTGTGAGTTGGGAAACCGGTCGGATCAAAATTAGGTCTCCAGCATGCCCTACGCTTGGGCCACCGGCCGAAGAAGTTAAGTCAAGGAAGGTGGTTTCACTGCGGCTGCACAAACAATACCCCACCTAGAAAGAGAGTGTGTGTCCCAAGGATGCCAAAGGTGCCACGTACAGAGACATTCACTGCAGTGCTGTTTACAACAGTGAACTATGGGAAGATAGGAGATCTGGCAAGAGGGAAATGGTTAAGGCCATTGTTCTACATCGATAATAGTATTTTACAGCCATGGAGACCAAGGTCTATGAAGAGTCTGAGATCATATGAAAAATGCAATGCTATAGCTTTTTAAAGGGATAACAAAGCAGGCTGGAAAGGGCATATATCATGAGTCACAAGTATATAAAAACACAAGAGACAGAGCACACATCAAAATTCTAAGGGTGATATGATTATGAGTGATTAGTTTCCCTGTTTTTTTTTTGTTTTTTTTTTTTTTACAGAACAGTTCACATTTCCCAAAATTAGTTTGTATTATTTTTATAATGGTATAAACCAGGGGCCAGAAAACTTGGTCTGTAAAGGACCAGAGAGTAAATCTTTTAGACTTTGCAGGCCGTATGGTCTCTGTTGGGAACGATTCAACTCTGCTGTTGTAGTCTGAGAGCCACCAGAGACAGTATGTCGTAAACAAATGGGCATGGTTGTGTTGCGATAAAACTTTATTTATAATTGTTTTTAATGTTTATTTATTTCTGAGAGAGAGAGAGAGAGAGACAGAGTGTGAGTGAGGGAGGGGCAGAGAGAGAGGGAGACACAGAATCTGAAGCGGCTCCAGGCTCCGAGCTGTCAGCACAGAGCCCGACGCGGGGCTCAAATTCACCATGAGATCATGACCTGAGCCGAAGACAGACACTCAACCGACTGAGCCACCCAATAAAACCTTATTTATAAAAACAAGGGGCAAACAGGATTTGTCCCATAGACTGTAGTTTGCTGATCCCTGGTATCAGCCTAAATTATTCTTTTTAAAGGGAGGGACAATGACGTAGAATAACCGTTCTTTCATTAAGTTCTAGCTATTACAGAAAGTTAGCTTTCTGATCATAGAAAAGTCTGGGGACCCTGAGGAAACGGTCCAGCCCCTGGAAATCACACTTGACAAGCAGGGTCAGGGCACAAAGCACAGACGACTTGTTGGGCCTAGGCTGAGGGAGGCTGTCATCCTGTCCCTCTCTTTGAGTCATTCCCGTGTCTCTCTCTCCCTCAGTATCCCGCCCCATCAATTCCAGGACCAGGAAGACAGAAGACAGTGACCCTGAGCAGACTGAAGACCCAGGACAGGAGAAGGAGGTCTCTGTTCCACTTACATTGGATTCGAGGTCACCGGATGCAGGATGACCTGGGGCGCCCGGGTCGGCGTCTCTGGCACTGGCACTACATCTGAGAGGCAGACGTGAGAGTCAGAAATCCAACATAGAGTCCACAGTCTCCCCCAAAGACCTAATTGCTGGGAGATGGGCCAGCTAGTAACTTCTCACCAGATCATGGTGCCCCTGGGGCTGGCCAGTCCCCTCTGTCCCTTCCTCAATCACTTGCGCTTTTCCTGCTCAGAAGCACCAGTGTTCTAAGATGACATCCTGAACCAAATGCCCCACTCTTGACTAGGGGGCTGCCAGAACTCCAAGCCTCTGACCCGAAGCATCCACTGGTCACCTCCAAATCACCCCACAACTCCTGAGTTCTCTTTGGGATGGTGAGGCCACTTGGTTTCACGTCTCCCAGTGCCCAACTCACCTCTGACCACCTCTCCCCTGCCACGTGGGCTCTGGACCCCTCCTTACCCTGGCCTGTCCTTCTATTGCAGACCACCTCCTCAGGCCTTGCCCTTGAGCCTTGGGATCTCCTTGGTACCACTGTGCCCTTGGGGCCTCTCAGTCTTTCCTTTTCCAACTCTACGTCCCACCATTATCCTGGGGTCTATTGGTCCCACCGCCATCCTCTTTGAGCTTGCCCATCCCAACAACCTTCGCCTTCATCCATTCCAGCAACCCACGCACCTCAGCAGGCTCGTTCAGAAGGGCCTGAGCGTGCACAGACTCACCTGGGAAGATGAACTGCTGTTTGTACTTGTAGTAGTGGGATGCTGGCAAAAGAATGAAAATACCAACGTGAGCACTGCCCCGAGCTGTCCCTGCAAGTAACAGATTGGGTTCCCACAGCCACCACATGGGTTCCCTGCCCACCCTCGAGGGGTTCCAGATTTCTGCAGACCTTCTGAATGACAAGGGGCTGAGAGCATGTATAAAGGAAGCAGAGCTCTGGACATCCAAGCCAACCCTCCCACGGGCAGCTCCCGGAGAACAGAGAGTCACCAAGAGCACAATCCCATTTTTGTTAACTGCACAGGGATACATGCACACAGAGAAAAGTCTGTGAAACCATAATCTAAAATAGTCATTTTTTTCCCCTCTTTGATTACAGACGCTTTCAAAAAATCCTTTAGGACACAATGAGATATCATCTCACACCTGTTAAGATGTCTACTATCAAAAAGAGAAAAGAGAAGTGTGGTGAGGGGAAGGAGAAAGGGGAAAGAGTGGGGTGCTGTGGGTAGGAATGCAAACTGGCACAGCCATTGGGGAAAACAGCATGGGGGTGCCACAAAAAAAAAAATAGCACTACCACGTGATCCAGCTTCTGGGAATATATCCAAAGGAAATGAAATCACTATTCCTGGAATGATAATCTGCACCCCCGTGTTCACTGCAGCATTATTTACAAGAGCCAAGACATGGAAGCAACTCAAGGGTCCACTGATGGGTGAACGGATAAAGCAAATGGTACACGTACACACACACACACACACACACACACACACACACACACACACACAATACATGTACACATGTACATACAATGGAATGCTATTCAGTCTTAAAGAAAAGAAGGAAATCCTGCCATTTGCAACATGGATGGACCTCGAGGGCACCGTGCTAAGTGAATTAAGTCAGACAGAGAAAGATACTGTATGAGATTACGTAACATGCGGAATTTGAAAAAAAAAAAAAATTCATAGAAACAACCAGATGGGTTAGGGAACAGGCTGAAGCTGGTCAAAAGGTACAGACTTCCAATCAGAAGACAAATGAAGTCCTGGCAAGGTAACGCACATCATAGTGACTACAGTTCACAATTACTGTTCTGTATCTTTGAAAGTTGCTGAGGGTAGATCTTAAAAGTTCTCATCACAAGGAGGAAAATTTGTAACTGTGGGTGGTGACGGATAGAAACTTGGACTGTGGTGATCATTTCCCAGCACACATATGTACCAAATCATTACCTTGTGCGCCTTAAGCATATACAATGTTATATGTCAATTACATCTCCACAAAATTGGGAAACCATGCATTTCCTGTGTTTTTCAAATTTTCTACATTGAGCATTGTATTAGTTTTCCTGTTGCTGCTGTAACAAATTATGACACACTTGGTGGCTTAAAATAGCACATTTATCTTCTTATAGTTCTGGAGGTCGGAGGTGCTGGAATAAGTCATAAGGGGCTAAAAGCAAGGTGTTGCCAGGGCTGGTTCTTTCCAGAAGCTCCAGAGGAGAATCCATGCCTTGCCTCTTCCAGCTGTTAGAGCCTGCCTGCACTTCTTGGCTCTGAGCCGACTCTAGTCTCTGCTCCCCTTGTCCTGGTATCACCTCCTACCGTCTCTGACCTTCTTGTCTCCCTCTTATAAGGACGCTTGTGGTTACATTTAGGATCCATCTGGATAATCCAGGGTAATCTTCCCACCTCAGGATCCATAACTTAATCATCCCTGCAAAGTCAAGTCACCTATAAAGTCACAGATCCACAGATTCTGGGGTTAGAGCGTGGTGAGTTTGGGGGTACCATTATTCTGCCTACCACAAGCATGGGTTAATTTCTGTATTTAGGGAAAAAAGAAATTTCCTCAACTTCACTGCTGATTCACCCACAATTCATTTTACTCCCAGTCCCAGTTCCGGACATCCCCGAGGTTCCTAATGTTACCCCTTACTCCTGTGGGGTGGAGGGCCTGGAGCAGGGGTGGGGGACAAGGGTATCGTGGGCAGTGGAGAGGCCACACTGAGCAGGAATGGGGTCAGATAGGAGTCCAAACTGGTGAACGTGCTTCCAGAAACAATTTTATTACCTGCAGGGACAGGACTCACCAAGCTGACTCACCAAGCATTACTGCACTGGTTCAGAGGCTGGGGCCAGGGGTTGACAAGCCATGGCCCAGGGGCCAAATCTGGACCATCACCTGCTTTTGTCCATAAAGTTTTACTGGAACACAGTCACATTCATTCATTTGCATGCTGTCTCTGGCTGCCGACATGCTATGACGTCAGAGCTGAATATTTGCAACAACAGAGACTATATGGCCCACAACATCTAAAATATTACCATCTGGCCCGTGATAGAAAAAGTTTGTTGACTTCCGGTTTAAAGCAAAGATGAGCTGGACAGCAGGAGTAGGAGGCTGATCCTGTAGGGCTGAATCCTCACTCTTCCTTTGGCTGTTTGTAAAAGCTTGGGCAGCTCTCTCCGAGTCTCAGTTTCCACGGGATAATCACAGTCTTTCCCTCGCAGGGCTGAGATCATCATTCCATGAGATAAGAGTGCATAGTGGTGCTGAATAAGCATTCGCTGCAGCGAATAAGCCAATATCTTTCTAAGCTCTCTTAATAAACAGACAAGAATGATTTATAATTAAGAGAAAATCGGTTTCAAAGAGCGAAGTCATTAGCTGCCCCCAAGGCTGGAACTGATTTATTAAGTCCCCAGGACAGAGAGGGGCCTGGTACCAGTGGGTGCACAACTCGTGTTTATTGAATTAATCAACTCTCTCCTAGCACAGCAATCCCCAAATATCCCAGATAGTTGGAATCCAAACGGATGCATTTCCTGACTCTGGAAAATGAGGTGCCCAGGGTGAGAAGCAACTCAGTCAAGGTCACAGAGCAAAGCTTTAAAACAAAACCAACCTCCAGGGCTTCAAGGACCTTTCTTTCTTCTGTTAGATAACTTAGGTTTTGTTTTTTGTTTTTTCATCGCACGCAGTCAACAAGAGGCTAAAATTAAAAAAGAGAAAACTACCCATGGTTGTCAAGAAGCTTAGCTGATCTCTTCCCTCCCCAGCGGGGACGGGGGATTCGGTGTCTGCGGCAAAGGATAGCCAGCAGTGACATTCTTTTATGGTGCGGCAGCTGGGCGAGGGACAGCAAAAACCGCTCTGACAAGGGACAGGGGTCAGGCAAAGGGACACTGGCGAAGGTCTCCACGCACAGAGCCAGCCCCCTCCCTCCTCCACCCCTCCGTGTGCCAGAGAACAGCTCGTTCCTGATGAATCCGAGTGGCTCCTGACTCCCTGGCATTGACGAGGTCTTGGGAACTGGGAGTCCTCAGGTGGCTGGAGGCCAGAGAGATACACAGGCCACTTTGAAGGCACTTCACTTCTACCCCGAAACCCTCCTTCCCTCCTTCCTTCCCTAAGGCCTCCCCCCAAAGCAGCCTGGATCGTCTTCTGGAAGGAAGGATGGAGGGTAAGTCATCTTCTGCCTACACCCTTTAAATAAAATCTGGATTCCTGCCGTGGCCCTGCAAGGCCCGGCCAAGCCTCATCCCTGTAGCTCTGAGTCCTACCTGGTGCCACTTTCCCCTTATTCACGGCATTTGGGCCACGGGGACATTTTTGCAGCTCTTTCCTGCATGTGCAGGGCCTTTGCACATGCTCCCCTCCCTCTGCCCAGCCAACTGTCCCCCATCTTCAGAACTCAGACACCTCGGACCCTTCAACCTCAACTTGCTCTCCTCTTGAACTTGCTGTATGGCTGCTGTACCGCCGTTCTTTCCCTTCATGGCACTTGGTGCAGCTCATTTCAGGTGTGCATCTGTGTGGTTAACCCGTCTCTCCCGCGAAGCTATAGACTCCACGAGAACAGGGGCTGTGGCAGGCCGAGTGAGGCCGCTCTGCCCAAGACGTCCACAACCTAATCCCTGGAGACTGTGACTACATCCGCTTCCATGACAAGGGTCCTTCCAACAGGGAGGCAGACGGGTCAGAGTTAGAGTCAGAGATGCGATCACGGAAACAGAGGTGGGAGTGCGGTGGAGCCGTGTGCAAAGGAACGCAGGCAGCCGCTGGAGGCTGGGGAAAGGCAAGGAAGTGGGTTCCTCCCTAGCACCTCAGGAGCAACCAGCCCTGTGGACACCAGTGAAACGGATTTTGGACTTGGGACCTCCATCACTGTAAGATAGCACTTCTGGGCTGTTTTTTCTTTTTAATATATGAAATTTATTGTCAAATTGTTTTCCATACAACACCCAGTGCTCATCCCAAAAGATACTTCTGGGCTCTTTTAAGCCACTAAGCTTGTGATGATTTGTTACGGCGGCCATTGGAAACTCAAACAGGGCATGTCTGGTGTGCATACGGCTCTATACCTAGTGCCTTGTATACCACGGGTACATAGTAGATGTTCAATAAACATGTCTTATGATGGATGCAGTCTGAGGGCCAGAAAACGACTTGAAGAGAAAAATCTGCAGCCTTGGGCAGTGCATGAATTTCAAGTCATTCACTCATTCATTCATTCATTCATTCATTCGAAAAAACCCCATTTAATTAGTGCCTTAAGCTGTAGGCAATGTGTTGGCCTTCAGGTGTAGAAGCATGAATGAAGCAGACATGTTTCCCAGTCTCACGAAGCTGATAATTCTGAATGTCACAGAGGACACGGACACTAAGTAAGTTAATAAATGAACAAAATCATGGTAGGGAAGGAGCACTGTGGAGTATAAAGACGGAATCAGGGCAGAGTGAAGGGAGATAGGGGGTGTTGAAAGGGAGGAAGCACACCCATAAGCCACCTGCCATGTCAAACATGGCCCCAGAGTTCAGAAGCAAGTGGCGGAGAACAAGGAGGTCAATCATAAATCCTACCAAGCCTGTGCCTGACGCGCTTCGTTTTCCAACTAAAAACCCTTCTTCCGTGTGTCCTGAGGTCAACATGTGAGCCAGATGCCTGTTAACCCCATAGACCCTACTGGAAAAGAATGTTCTAGGTATCAGTCAATGCTGAGAACATTATGATGCCTAGGTATTAGCCAGAATAGTCTTCAAAAACCCAACATTTGGCAGGGAACCATAACCACAGCTGCCTTTCCCATCAACAGAGGCTTGTAGTCAAGGGTGTGACGGGTGACTAGGACCTTGTGTGAACAAGACAGGCACTTGTCATTCTGAGGGAATTTTGCTAAAACCTCCTAAGTCAAGGGAGAAGGTCTGGCTGCTCTTCTGGAAGGTCCCATTTTGTTTTCCACTTCAATATTGCATTTTGTGATTATTGTTCAATTATAAAACGGGTGCGTTCCTTGGTACTCTATACACTGTAGCAATGCATAAAATAAAATTTTTCTTCTTAGAAACAGCTGCCAGGAAGTTCTTGCAGGCTTTTTTGTGCATATACAAATAGACAAGTATATATACACATGCGTATAAACATACGACTATATATAATTATTTTAGAATAAATAGGATTTTATTATACCAACTGCTTTGCAAATCACTTGTTTTCCCACTTACAAGACATTGTAGATACCTTGCATGTCAGGATATCCACAAAGAACCACCCCATTCTTTTTAAGGGTGGCTGAATATTTGGTTATGTAGATATATTACAGTGTATTCAACCATTCCTCTCTTGATTGTATTTAACCATTCGCCACTTGGGTTGAGTCCAAAGTTTTCACTATCGCAATGAAATCCTTACGCACAGATCCCTGTACCCTATGCGAGCATATCTGTATATAAAGTCTTAGAAGTCATATCACTGGTCCACGGAATGTACCTATAAAACTTTGACAGACAATGTGAAATTACCTCCTCAAAAAGGATTAATTCGATCCCTGCTCTGAATGCCAGGGAATGGGAGGATTTCATCTTGATTTCCACAATTCTGATTATGCCCCTATTAATTAGCAGTGATGATGAGAAACGCCAGAAATGGTAGCCATGGCAACTTGTTATTCTTATGTTTATGTAATAATGGAACCAGCTGGCATGTGTCAAGACCTTCAGCGAGACACTCGCTCTGCTCAACTCGGTACATGTATGATGAGGTGTGGTCCTTCCACGATTCTATGGAGTAGATGCTTTTATCATTATCCCCATTTTACAGATGAGGAAACAGAGGCACAGAGAGGTAACTGGTTTGCTCCAGCACGACGCTGAGATTGAGCAGTAGAGCTGGGATTTCAACCCAAGCAGCCCAGCTCCAGAGCCCATACTCCTAACTGCTGTTCTAAAGTCCCTGCCCTCGGAGGACCCCTCAGCCCACACCCCAAATGACGTCACTGTCATGAGATGCTCTGGAGTAGGTGCGGATCACTGGCAGGCTAGCAGCAAACGGGCAAGGGCCCGTCCTTGGGGACCCTGCCCCAAAGAGTGAGGGAGCTAAGGGAAACAGTGATCACCCCGGGTTAGCCAGGTCTCTCACCAGCAGAGTCCTCTAGGGACAGAAAGAGCTGTGGCACTCTGACATACAGGTCTCCCCTCAGAGGTCCCCTCCCAGCCCCTGGCCCATAAGGAAGCAGTGCAGCAGTTTCCGGGGAAATTCCCTGAAGTCAGTGTCTGGGAATGGGATGGAGCAGGGTAAGAAAGCGCCCAGACGCGCTTCCCCCCAGGTTTGGGGCGGAGGCACGGTCATGGAGTGTCAAAGCGCCCTTCTTGCATTTGCCCCCTTCCAGTGAAGCAGAAATGGACCATCCTGCAGGTGGCAGGGGGAGCACCCAGTCCGTGGACACAGCAGGCGGTTTTTGCCTAATTGACTCCGGGAGGCACTCGCTGGAATGATTCCAGCTGGTGACTCACATTATGGTCCTTGCTGGCTGCCCAGTGAGTGAGTGGTCCTCATACCAGACAGATACAAGACTTCCTCAGGCTTGAACGTAACCAAAAAATCCCAATCTTGCAAGACTTCAAAATGTGCCCTCCTCCTATGGACATAGCCCAGATCAAAACAGTGCGGGTAGGTGACAGCTTGTCCTTAAACGGGTAGTTGTATCTGGGTTTGGCCAGGTGTGGGTTTGGGCCTTCATCTGCCTACTGGTCACTCCGTCATGGCTGATGAGGCTTGGAAGTGTGACCCGTGACCACAGGACCGGGGATTTTTCCCTCTGCATGAAACCTGCAGGCTTAGGTGGAAATCAGTCCCTAGATCAGCACTGTCCAGTGGAACTTTCAGCGATGATAAAAATGTTCTATGCTTGCACTGTCCAATATGGCAGCCACCAGCCACCAGTGGCTAATGGGTAATTAAAATGTGGCTACCGTGGCTGAGGAATTAAAATTTTAACTATACTTAATTTTAATTCATTTCAATTTAAACGGCCACAGGTGGCTAGAGAGTACCAGAGGGAACAACGCCGTTCTAGACTCTGGTTCCACGGCCAAGTCAGACCTCATCCCACCGGCCTCTTTCCTGACATCAGCTGTGGTGCTGCAAATATGGCTGAGCTAGAAAATCCTTAGGGCCCTAGAAGAGGAAGTGGGCTGGGCAGGACCTCAGAAGAGGCAGGAAGACTCTTAGGTCTGGCCCACCTGAGCAGAGAAAGATCTCTTTCTTAAGTCGAATGACAAAGGAGGCCAAGAAGCCAAAACATGAGTGGCTTCTCCAGCATCTCATAGCCCGGTGCACAGTCTCAGATCCACAGCTAGGTACTCTGGAATTTATGAGCTGGGAGAACCTTCTGGATCCTCTCATCCATCTCATCCTCTGAGATCAGATAAAGTAATATGTGGTGACTGACCTGAACATAGTAAGACTCACCCGCATCTCTTCAACCCATCGCCTTTAAGCGTGGACCGGCTGGACATGGCTCTGGTTCGAACCCAACCCCCCCTCCCGCGGCCCCCGCGACTCCCCAAGTGCAAAGGTACCTGGCAGGTTGAAGTTCTTCTGCCTTGTGCACTGTGGGGAAGGGTGCAGGGGAGAAGGCGGCGTGGCACTGGGAGGGAGGGGGGGTGCTGGCGAGGAAGGCGTGGAGGACGTCGTGGATGAGGGGTTGCTGCTCGAGTCCGGCTGGTAAGGGACAGGGATGTGGTCCTGCGGAAAGAAAACAGGGCAGGGGACAGGGACAGGCACAGATGCAGAGACACGTGAGTGAGAGTGAGCAAGCAGGAAGGAACACCACCCCAGCATCCTTAGTCCCCCGCTTTCCTCAGCCACCAGAACCTTCCAAAGTCCCACCTGCTTCATCATCCCCACCTGCAAGCTGGGTTGCATCCAGCTGTGGAAGGAACAGTTTCTGGCATCAATTTCCTGTCCGCTGTTTGGACTCCAGACTGAAAGGTTACCACATAATGAAAGCCACGGAGGCGACAGCCAAGCTCCCTGTGCCTTTTTGATTTTGGAAAGTCCCACGCCGAGGTGCCCAGAGTGCTCTTTCCATCCTAACACCTCTCCTCCCAAGTGTTTATTAAAGAATCGACAGCCTGGCCGCTCCAGAGAGAACGCGAAAGCATCTTCCCTCACGTGTCAGGCGGAGCCGGCGTGGCCTCTGCTGGGCCCCGAACCTGCTCTAAGCAAACCTGAAGACGGAACCCCCGCGTGCACCCTCAGAAGGGCCCTGGCGGCGGTGGGATCGGGAGCAGGGTAGTGGCTTGAATGGTGTCCCTCAAAAGACCTGCCCCCTGGGAAACTCAGAACGTGAGCCTATCTGGAAAAAAGGTCTTTGCAGATGTCATTAAGGTACAGATCTCAAGAGGAGATCATTCTGTATTCAGGTGGGTCCTGAATCCCATTCCAGGTGCCCTTATAAGAAATGGAAAATGAGGGGCGCCTGGGTGGCTCAGTCGGTTAAGTGTCCGACTTCAGCTCAGGTCACGATCTCGCGGTCCGTGAGTTCGAGCCCCGCGTCAGGCTCTGGGCTGATGGCTCAGAGCCTGGAGCCTGTTTCCGATTCTGTGTCTCCCTCTCTCTCTGCCCCTCCCCCGTTCATGCTCTGTCTCTCTCTGTCTCAAAAATAAATAAAAAAAGTTAAAAAAAAAATTAAAAAAAAAAAAAAAAGAAATGGAAAATGAGAGACACACACAGAGGAAAAGACCCCATGAAGACAGAGATAGAGACTGGATTGTCGCATCTATAAGCCAAGGAACACTTAGGATTGCCAGAGCCACCAGAGGTTAGGGAAGAGGCATGGAATGGATCCTCGCTCGGAGCCTCCAAAAGGAACCAATCCCACACTAACACCTTGATTTCGGACTTCCGGCCTCCAGAACTGCGAGGGGAAAAAAGGTCTGTTGTTTAAGCTGCCCAGTTTGTGGTCATTTGTTAAGGCAGCCCCAGGAAACTAAAACCAGCAGGAGCCCGAGTCAGGCAAACCCAGATTCAAATCCCATAGCCACCCCTTCCCCATACATTCTGGACGAAACGCTTAACCTCTCCATCCCTCAGTTTTGCCTCCTGTAAAGTGGGAATAATGCCAGCAAACCTCAACATCATATAAAAGGGATTCCTGCCTCTCAATCCCAGCATCGCTGGAACTTTAATCTGTCCACTCACAAGACAGTGGTCACTTGGTCCCTCTATTACTCAGAGTTCCATCACTCTGACAGGTTCCGGGTGCCTGGGGATGGTTTTGTAGGACCTGGTTATTTTACAACAGGTACGTTTACCTGCCAAACTCCAGAGTCAGTGTGAGAAACACCAACCAGCATAGGAGGGCAAGAAGGGGGACAGGAAACAGGCATTCTCCATCAGATGCCCAATGGGTGCCTATGCTGTGATGTCACCCTCCCAGAGCCCACTCACTCCCCCTGCCTCCAAGTAAGTGACTTCACTTCTGGGAATTTCGGTCTCTCCTTGTCCCTCACACGGGCTAAGAACACCCACCTGCTGGGTCCGCTGTGAAGTTTCAATGAGGTTATGAATGTACCTACACCCCTCCCACTGGGCTGAGGCACTTTGTTGTCAACCAATGGTTGTGATTATGTTGACGACATAATTTGCAATTGAGCTTTTTATTTGGGATAACTGTGGATTCACATGCAGTTTCTTTAAAGTTTATTTATGGGGGGGGGGGGGATTTATTTGTGAGAAGAATTCCAAGCAGGCTCTCAGCTGTCTTACAGAACTAGCATTGGGCTTGATCGAGACCATGAGATCTATGACCTGACAAAGCTCAAGAGTTGGTTCTGTCAGCTACTGGTACCTGCTGGTGCCCACAGTTTTGGAAGAGTGGAGTAGGCATCTGGGGTGCCTGGGTGGCTCAGTCAGTTGAGCGTCCAACTTCAGTTCAGGTCATGATCTTGAGGTTTGTGAGTTTGAGTCCCGCATCAGGCTCTGTGCTGACAGCTCAAAGCCTGGAACCTGCTTTGGATTCTGTGTCTCCCTCTCTCTGCCTCTCCCCCACTTGCATTCTGTCTCTCTCAAAAATAAATAAATTGTTTTTCAAAAAAAGAAGTAAGGGAGATCTCATGCAGGCTTCACCAGCTTTCTCTGATGTTTGCATCTTGCAAAATGATAGCACAATATCACAACACAGATGGCGAGCGGATACAGTCCACATACAGAACATTTCCACCACCCCAGGGACCCCTCATGTTGTGCTTTTATAGCCACCCCACTTCCTTCTCTGTCTCCTCACATGCCTCCCTCCCATCTTTAACCCATGGCACCACTAATCTGTTCCCCATTTCTATAATTTTGTCATTTCAAGAATGCTCTGTGCATGGAATCATCCAGTATGGAACCTTTTTGGATTGGCGCTTTTTTTTCACCACTCAGAAAAACTATCTGGAGATGCATCCAAGTTGTTGAATATATCAATAGTTTGTTCCTTTTGATGGCTGAGTAGTATTTCATCACATGGATGTACCACAGTGTGTGTGACCATTCGCCCATTGAAGGACAGCTGGGTTGTTTCCCCTCTGTGGCTACTGTGGATAAAGCTTCTATGAACATTCAGGTATAGGTTTTGTACGAACAAATGTTTATTTCTCTGGGATAAATGCCCAGGAGTGCAATTCCTTGACAGCATATTAACTGCCATGCTTAGTTTCAGTTTTGTATTTTTGTATTTTTATATTTTAATGTTTATGTATTTCTGAGAGAGAGACAGAGAGTGAGTGGGGGGAGAGGCAGAGAAGAGGAGATGCAGAATCCAAAACAGGCTCCAGGCTCCGAGCTGTCAGCACAGAGCCCGACAGGAGGCTTGAACTCATGAACTGCGAGATCATGACCTGAGCCGAAGTTGACTGCCCAACTGACTAAGCCACCCAGGCACCCCAGTCATGTTTAGTTTTTAAAGAAGATGCGAAAACCATTCTCCAGAATGGGTACACTATTTTACACCAACAATGTATGAGTGACTGATTTTCTCTGCATCCTAGCCAATGTTTGGTATTGTCACTATTTTTTATTTTAGCCATTCTGATAGTACAGTGACATTTCACAGTAGTTTTAATTTGCATTTTAATGGCTAATGATATTGAACATCTTTTCATGTGTTTACTTGCCATCTGTATATCCTCTTTGGTCTTGATTACTGTTAACTATATAATAAGCTTTGAAATTGGGCAGACTGATTCCTCCCACGTTATTCTTTTTCAAAACTGTTTTTAGTTATTCAAGTTCCTTTGCCTTTTCATATAACATTTAGAATAATTTTGTCTTCATCTACAAAAAAAAATATTTTGCTGGGATTTTGATAGGAATTGGGCATCAATTTTGAGGAGAACTGACATCCTAACTATGTTGCATCTTCCAATCCATGAACATGGTATGCTTCTAAATCAGAAAAACAGGAACAGGGGTTTATGTCTTTTGCCCATTTTGAGAAGTTTTTACCCATCATTTCTTGGAGAATTTTTTCAGCCCTGCCCTCTTTATTCTTTCCTTCAGCACTCTGATGACAGCAATGTTGGACCTTTTATTATTGTCCCAAGGGTCCCTGAGGTCCTACTCATTTTTTTTTTTTTAGTCAATTGTCTTTCTGTTATCCAGACTGTGTAATTTATACTGTTGTATCTTCAAGCTCACATATTCTTTCCTCTGTCCCTCCATTCTGTCACCGAGTCTCCCCACTGAGTTTTTACTTTTAATTATTGCATTTCCGAGTTATATGTTCTGAAATTTCCATATGGATCCTCTTTATATCTTCTATTCATTTGCTGAGACTTTGTATTTCTTTGCAGTGATTTCCTACTTTTTCGTGTGTTTCAAGAGTATTTGTAATTGTTTGCTGAAATAGTTTTATGACTGCTCTAACAATCTCTGTCAGATAATTCTGAAATCTCACTTGTCTCAGTGTTGGCATCTATGGGTTGCCTTTTTTCATTCAGTTTGAGATCTTTCTGGCTCTTGGTGTGACAAGTGATTTTTCACTGAAGCCTGGACATCTGGGTATTAAGTTGTGAGACTCTGGGTCTTACTTAAACCTTTGGCTTTAGCTGGCTTCCCGTGATCCTGCCCTAGCAGGGAAGAGGGCGTGTGCTGTCTTATTATTCCCAGGTAGGGCCAGATGCCTAGGCCCTCTGCCTCTGTCGGCACCGGAGGACAGGAGGGGCTCCTAATTGTTGCTGGGTGGGGTGGGAATTCCAGCCCCTTCATAGGCCTCCACTGACACGCACTTTCTGGGAGAGGTACTATTTCTACTAAGAGGTACTATTACCATTCCCCATGTAGCCTTCACTGACACCAAGCACAACAGAGTAGACTCATTATTTGGGTGGTGGTAAAAGTTCTGACTCTCCACTAGGCTTCCACTGACCCTACCTCATCAGGTAGGGGTGCTACATTATTGCTGGATGAGGGGGCTCACAGTCCCCAACACCAACCAGGCCACTTCACATCTTCAAGGCTTGGAACATGCTGTTATTTTCACTTGGAATATCTGTCCATCCCTAGTCTGCCTAGAAGACACAGTTCACAGCTCCCCTCCTCTGGGAAGTTCCTCTGACCCCCTGCTCCACCAGGTCAAGCACATCATTCACTCCTGGTGCTGGCTCTTCCCACTCACTCGGCTTCAGCTGCTTCTACCCAGTCGCTTCTCAGCCTACTTGTCTGTTTTGCCCTCTAGGCTGGGAGCTCCATATTCCCAGCCACAGTGTGGTCCTTAAATAGATGGGTGCTAGATGAAGGAAAACAAGAAAGAAATGAAGGGAGGGAGACTTGGAGGTATGGAGAGAAGGAGAGAGGGAGGGAAAGGTATATCTCTTCCTACTAGATGGTGTCTTATTCATCTTGGAATCTGCAGAACTTAGCACAGAAACAAAAGCATAAGAGGTAGTAATAAGTGTTATATGAATGAGTGAATTAACAGAAAAGAAGGAGGATTGGAATGAGGAATTGCATTTATGGAGCAAGGAATTATCTCTACCTCCTTGAGGGAAGGATTTAGGTCTTTCTCATCTCTGTAGCTCAGGGCTGATGTGAATAAACAGAATCATCTCAAGAGACAGCTGCATATGGTGCCCACATTCCTTGGCCAAATTGCTACAACAGGAGGGGAAATTCCTTCTTTGGGTCAGACCGAGATCTATGGCCCAATGGGACCAGCAACGGGAGGTTGCATTCCATCGAGGGAAACTCAAACTCAAATCAGATCATTCCAGGAAGGGCTAGTGGCATAATTCCTCTTTCAGAGCACAGCTAAGATACAGAAACATCCTTCAGAGACCTCCCAGTCCAAATCCTTATTCTGTAGATGGGGACACTGGGACTCGGAGAGGGGGAGTGACTTACTGGTGTCATACAGAGAGTTAGTGGCCTGGGTCCTTACCCCCAGCCCAGCAGCAGAAGCACAAGGTTGTCCCAAGTCACAAGAAACTCACATCTGACTCTGGGAATTGAACAAAAGCATGCTTATCTCCCATGTTCCCATTCCATTCCACCCAGTTGAGCACTGATCTGGACATGGTGGTGACGGTAACTGCCTCTCTCATGGACTTTTCCTAAGGAAACTGTCCCTACCCTCCAACCCAATAGACTGTGGTGAACAGACAGTCCTAAACAACCACACTTGTCTTGTGACCTCCACGGCCCACCCCCAACACAGGACCACAGGTCCAAACAAGATGGCAGCTGGCCCATGACCATGATATGGAATGAAAAGATGAGCTGGCCAACAGCATCAGGCGCACAGGCAGAGACGAGATGAGGTTCAAAGAGAACAGAAGAGCCACGACAGGCCAGAAAACAAAGAAGCCAAGGTTATGAGAAATACATGGAGGCAGAAGCAATGACATGGAGAAGAGGGGAAGGTAGAGGATGAGACCAGTCAGCAGTAACAGACTGGAGCAGACCCAAGAAGAGCAGCTGAGTCACAATCATGATGGAAGAACAGGACAGTGATCCACGGTCCTGCTGGAGGTCCATGGAGCTGGCCCGAGTGCAAGGCCAACTGGAAAGGGCAAGCCGGCACGCAGCCATTTTGAATAGCGTCACTACAGCAGGTACATCTTCAGCCTTGGACACCACTGCAGATGGGGTTCTGATGCCTTGACCTGGAGGGACAAGGGCTATAGCCTGGTCCCCCAAGGAGCTGGCAGATACTGCCGTTTCTTCTTCTCCTCTGCCTCCTCCCCCTCCCCCTCCTCCCTCTTCCTCTTTCTGCCTCCTCTTCCTCCTTCCGTTCCTCTTTCCCCCATCAAGCCATTCCCTGCCCTGACCATCCAGGGTCAGACTAAATCCTTGACGCCTATCACTGCATCTACTCCTTTCCATAGTCCCAGTCATAGCTGCTATTGTGCTGCCCCTTTAATGGGGGAGGAGGGGAAGGAACCAAGGTAGAGAGAGCTTGCTATGACCACACAGTCAGTGAAGGAACGAAGTTCGAAGGCTGGGCCTTCTGACTCCAAAACGCACACTCTAACTAACCATTACGTCGGGAGAAAAAGCTGGGCTTTTGTGAAGTTGGATTGACTGAGCCAGACAGGAGAGGAGACAGAGCAATGAAAAGGAAGCCTTCAGACCAAATTGGCTCAGAAATCTATTGCACTAACCACATCATTGCCTGACAAAAAGAATCTGTGTGAAGCCAGTGAGAAGAGAAAGAGAGGAAAAAATAACCCGGCCCTGTGATAGATCCTGTCCACCTTCAAGTCAAAGCTGCTTTCTAAATAGAGGTTAATTTATTTCTCTTATCAAATTCTCCCGCTGGCAGACAAGCAGAACAATGTCACAGTCACTGATCTAGCTGACCCGTGTTTCTGTCCCATCTGATCAAGAGGCTCAGTATGCTGGCAAAGCCAGAGAGGAAGGTCTCGAGATGCTCTGAGCAGCTCGCCCCCTAAGATGTCACAAAGAAAAGGATGGGTTCTCTAGACATGCACAGTTACTTCTTAGGAACCGTACCATTTGAGCCTCCTAAGCACCCCCAGAGGTGGAGATCCCTTCTTCTAGAGACCTATACGTATCTTATGCAAATAACAAAGAAAAAGTGGACCCGACCTAAGATCTGGATTGGAAACCCAAGATTTAAGCTGAAAACAGTATCTAGAATTTTCTGGATGCTTAACATGTGCCATGAACCGTACTAGATGCTTGTATGTGGATTACTTCATTTCATCCCCAAGACAACTCTCTGAGGCTGGTGCTCTTATTATAGCCACCGTGGACATTTTAAAACGTGGCCTCAAATTCCTTGGACTCCTCCCATCGGCAGGTGGTTTCTATGCCTCTTCCCCTTGAATCTGAGCAGGAACGCGACAGCCCCCATCAGTATGACAGAGCAGAACTGATACTACCGATCCTTGGCTAGTGACAAGTCAAGACAACACACCAAGGTAATGCTAAGTTACAAAAGCCCAGGCAACTTCTGCCTTGTTGCTCAGTTGCTCGTCAAGCCCTGAGCTGCCAGGTGAGAAGCCCGAGCACCCTGAAGCCGCCATATTGTGAGGAAGCCCAAACCATAAGGCAAGTCCGCATGTAGATGCTTCCGCTGGGTCTCCGCTGAACCCGGTCTCTGATGCACCACAGGCAGACACTAGACAGGTGACTGATGACGACTCTAGCTCAGAGGCTGGCATGCTTTTTCTTAACATGGCCAAATAGCAAATATTTTAGGCTTTGTGAGCCATGTGGTCCCCGTTGGAACCACTCAATTCTCAATCATAGTGTGAAAGCAGCTGTGGACAATATGGGTGTGGCTCATGCCAATATAACTTTATTCACAAAAACAGGTGCAGGTGCTGGGCTGGTTTGGCCTGTGAGCCATAGTGTGCCAATCTCTGCTCTAGAAGATTCCAGCCCCAGCTGTGTAAGTTTTCCCAGTTCAGTCCCCACAGTTTCCAGGAACATAATTAAAAGGCTGTCGTGCTCCACTAAGTTTGAGGGGCTTTGCTGTGCAGCAGTAGATAACTGGAACGTACCCATTTCATATACAGGAAAACTGAGGCCAAGAGAAATTAGTGGCCTGCCCTGAGGCTCACCGCTAGTAAGTGGGAGAAGCCAGGGCTGACTGCAAGGTTCGCCTGCCTTCAGAGGCCAAGCTCTCAACTGCTTAGATGACGCCACAAGGAGCCAGATGGTGAATGGCTGAGAGCTAGTAGTAAAAACAGTGGGTGATAGTGTGTGAGAGAAAGAACATATGGGCTTTGGTGGGGAGACGTACAAGGGGAGGTCACAGACGGAGCGAGGGACCAAATTAGGCACGGTCTTGCAGACTGCAGAAGGAGCTTGATTTGTTTTCTCAATGCAGTAAAGAGCCACTGGGTGGTTTTGAGGCAGAGGGGGACAGGATTCAAATTGCATTCATTAGGAATCACTCTGGCTGCTGTCTGGAGGATGGACTGGGGAGAAGCAATACTCTCTCCAGCCTTATGCAGAGAAGCTAGACAGAGCCTTGCCAGTGAGAGGTCACCGAGCCATCGTGACGCTCATCTGGGTCCTGAACACAGGTGGTGACTTCCCACACGCTTGGATTGATTTGCACTTTACCCACCTTCAACACGGTGCACAGAAGCACTGGGGAGTTTGAGAAATCACCTGTTGGCACGTGCAGGCTTTGCCTCCCACCATAAGGCTGCAAGTGTCCCTGGGAAGGTTCTGGTGCAGTCCAACCAACAGACCAAACACATGGAAATCACGCTGGAAATTTCCATGCCACAGTGGACAGGTGCATAGAGAGGCTGACCATCTGAGGACCAGCCAGAAGTCAATCAAACTGACTGAGGCTCAGAGCTTGCCTCCCCCCCCCCACCCCCCACATATCCATCTATCTAGTCTCTAGCAGGAGCTCAAAAAACAGTCTTCCGTCCCTCGGTGGTCCGATTCAACAGATATGTCAACCCAGCCATCTGCAAGGTTAATTCCGGCAGGTTGGCAAAACATCTCACAGAGCAAAGGGAGCTGGGTCTGGATCACTCAGGAATCCTGCTTAGACTCTCCCGCAATCCCTACTGCTCCCTCCTCGACACATTCATTCATTCTCATTTCCGTGTGCCCTCTCTCTAAATTAAGACAGATTTCTGGCACACTCACTCTCCACGGAGGGCTGGATGCCCCCTAAGCTTTCCTTACACAAACCACATGGAGCGAGGAGAGCCCAGGTGGGCTGGGAGGTGAGGGTTTCCAGAGCAATTCGCTCAAGCCCCCCTCCCCGCCCCTCCCAGGCAGCGGCAGCCCCAGCAGACCCCGACCCAGCAGGACCCCGCCCTCACCTTGCTGATCTTGTTGGTTTTGGGGAGCGTCTGGCTGATGTGCAGGTCCGAATACCGGGGTGGCTTTCGTAGAGGGTTGTTGATGTCACACGGGACGGACTCTGTCCGGACTAACCTTGCTGGATCCGTAGGGGTAAAAACAGCAATTTGGGAGTTTAAGTACCGCTTCGTGTTAAACCGTTCTGCCAGGAAAGCCTAGCTCAGACCCCATCTCGAAGGCCTGCCCCCAGGATGGGAAGGGAATCCTCCAAAAACGATAGTTGTCAGGTCATGGCGTTAAGATCAGGTGTCCTCTGTGCTTTCTAGAATGTTTATGTTGTTAAGAAATGACTTGACAACTGTACATCTTGATAATGAAGCCGAAGCTATCCATTTGTTTTCGATACCATAATTGTTTCACGTGGGCATCATTTCAGAATTGACCCTCCTGTGAAATACAAGAGGTTCCTGATTCCTTAAGATCTACAATCAATGGATAAGCTCAGAATGACCACCTGTCCTTGCCTCCATCTAACCTTTGTGTCGGGATCCTCTTTCGTCATTTGTGGGATTTCTCAGGCCCGGGCAGCCTGCTGCGTGTCAAAACACGTTTGTCCTAAACAAGGCCACAGGGATCCCTGAAAGGAAGGCTTACTATCTGCAGACCTCCCCTCAATGTCCTCCCTGAAGCCGCACAAAAAGCTGGGCACACAGCTGATGCTAAATAAATCCAAACGACGTCATCCAAGCTTCTCTTCCCGTCACCCCTCTCGTATTATCACTTCTTATAGGGACCACAGGGAGGGGCAAATTGAGGAGCTCAAATTCAAATCTGATGCCTGGCAGTGTGACTTGTTAGCTGTTTTGTGTTGCGGGGGGAGGGGGGGCAGTGTTGGTGGAGAAGTTAAAGCTTTGGACTGACCCAGGAATTTAATTTTTCTGCTTAGCCTGAGCTGCCATCTCCATGGAAACCAACTATATTTTAAACTTCCTACCAACAAGGGTGGGGGATGGGGGGAAAGCAAGACGCTGGAGGACTTCTGGCAAGTTCCACTGGCTTTGCATGTATGGGCACCTGCTGCCTCTGAGCAAAGGGGGTACGGCCATGAAGGCAGCATGTAGGGAGCCTTTCTTCAGGTGTCAGCTTCTGGAAGCGGGTCACCTTGCAGCTGGCTGGTTCTGGTCTCCACATGGGAGTTGGACTCCAGCAAAGACCACTAGGAGGTGGTTTCCCCAGTGAAGCTGACCCAAGCAAGACAAGGGGTCAAGAGCTGTGAGAATTCAGCTTTAAAAAATAGCCTCACTGAGCATATACAGTTGTGCAAGGAACAGATGGTTCTTAATTAAGGATGGGTGGGAAGGGGCAGGAGGGCTGAAGACTTTTCCTTCCCGTGCAATTTCCTCCCCTTGTGGAGGTAAGCAATGCAAAGATCATCGAAAACCAACGGCCCAATGGCTTTGGAACACATCCCAAGACTTTCGGCAGCAATTTGCTTCCTTGTTTGAGTTTCCCTTGGGCTCATTCTAAATCGGGGCAGATTCCCTGGAGCGTGCATTGACCAAGGCCAGGGGAGCTGGGAGGGGCATAGCAGGGACAAGGAGGGACTCCATCTCACATCAGCAGGTTGTGTACCTCAACATCGGCTCCAAGGCTCCAGCCAACCTATAGATGGGAGGGTGGGAGGGCAGGGAATTGGCCAGCAAGAATTTTAAAACTGTAATAAGTCGCTAATATCTGAAAATAATACAACTATTTGGGCTTTTCTTTGAAACATGAGAAAAATTCAGGTCCATGTTGTTTCTATCATTGCTGGAGTGGCTGTCCTCTCTAGATGGTTCCTGGGCTCCCCTTCCACTTTGCATGGCCCCACCTGGCCACCTTCTCTTATTTAGAATCCTGGTTTGGCCCTGGAAGGTACCTGAGTTTGCAACTTGTACCCTAGAGTCTTGCCTCTTAAGGGGCAGAGGAACTGCCCACAGATTCAGTTAAAAATGCAGATTTTGATTCAGTAGGTCTCCTGTACGTTGAATAGCAGAGGTCAGAACCAGTGATATCCAACAGAACTTTCTGTGATGATGAAAGTGTTGCTTGTCTGCACTATCCAATATGGTAGCCACCACCTGTGGCTACTGAGCCCTTAAAACGTAGCTGGTGTGACAGAATAATGGAATTTTTATTTTTATTTCATTTAAATTAATCTAAATCTAAATAGCCAGGTGTGGTTAGCAGCTACTGTATTGAACAGCACAGGCCCAGAGAGTCCCCTGGTGAATGAATTGTAACGTAGATAACAGAAGCCAGAGATAACTCCCCCATGAGACAAGAATCAGGGGAACTATTTTGAAAGCTGGACTACAAGGTTTCCCCAGTTGAGTCCCTGGCAGGTAGGGAAAAGCCTTTCCTTCTAGTCTTTCCTTCGCACTAAATTGGTCTTGCTTTTTGTGCAAGATACAAGGCTGGCCACGGCTCTCCCAAGGGCAGCTGTTACCTCGCTGCTTGGACAGGTTGGCCAGGACACTCCCAGAGCCCCAGGGGACAGAACACAGATGGCCCAGAACCAACAGACCCAAGCCCGACCCTTCCCATGCTCACCTCTGCAGGGCCAAATGACCCAGTCTAGAGAGCACGTGAGAGGAAACACTCAGCCAGCACTCTTTTTAAGGGGGAAGGAAAAGCAATGAGATTAGCGGGGAAAGAGAGGAGAGTGGAAATTAGGAGAGCAGACAAGAATGAGAGAAGAAGAGTTAGGAAGGGGGAGATAAATCTGGGGACTAAAGTATCAGAGAGACCAGGAGCGGGGCAAGGAACAGGGAGAACAGGCACAGGGAATGGATGAAGGGGACAGATGGCAGGAAGAAGAGCAACAGAAAGGAAAAAATTGGCAAATATCGGGGGATTAAGAGGTACACAGAAATGGCCTGGATGGGACAGCTATCTCAGAGGGCCTGCAGGAGCCCCTGCGCCACCCTACCCCTAGGGCACCAAGTGTTAAATACTTACCTCCTCTGTGGATGATCAGGAGATGACAGGGTGGGGCTTCTTTGGTGCATTTGTTGTGGCACTTTAACCTGAGAGAGAGAAAGACAGAGAAGGATGGAAAGATGGGTGGCTGGGAGGCTGGGTGGGTGGGTGGATGGACTGGTGGGGGA